AACTCTGTAGATTTGGTTAAACTTATACAAATAAAAGATTACACGAGGAGCTTCTTTTCCGTTTAATTGCTAGCTTTCGAACCTTGCGGTTCTTCAACAGGCGTGGCTAGTACAACAATACTAACGTATTGTTGTACTAGCCACGCCTGTTGAAGAACCGCAAGGTTCGAAAGCTAGCAATTAAACGGAAAAGAAGCTCCTCGTGTAATCTTTTATTTGTATAAGAATTAGGTATTGATAAATTGGAGAGGAGTGGACTTCAGGAATTGGTTTAACCATGGAGATAAGCACCACCACTACCATAAATGAAAAGAAAAAGGGCATCTCATGTTGTTGTTGTTTCTTATCCCCTTGGGTAAATATTACAGGAATTCCATGAGTTCATGCTCCCCGAGCTTTTTGATGATAAGCAGCGGCCTCTCCCAAAGGTCCTGTTTAGTACATCTAATACAAGCCAAAATGTGTTCTGGAGGTGCCAAGCTACATTTTGGGAAAGTGGGTAGACTTTAAAGATGGAAATTTTGCCGGGAGGATATTGATCTACAGAGACAAAGGTCGCCTCTCCCGTCAAAATAGACGTCAAAACCTGACGCCATCCATTGACCGTCGCCGCAAACTAGCGGCCTCGGGTCGGTGACAGCCACAACACGAGCTTTGGCAAACTGAGAAGCGTCCACCTAGAGACCATGGTTTCGGGCTAATGGCCCTCGTCAGTCTAGGGCGGACTTTATTCCATGAGATCCACATGGGATCTAATGGAATCTTGACAATCTGCTAAAGATGGCGTCAGGTTTTGACGTCTATTTTGATGGAAGAGGCGACCTTTGTCTCTGTAGATCAATATCCTCCCGGCAAAATCTCCATCTATATTTTAGCCATAGATTTGGCCCAGCCACTTTGCCAGGTAAACACCTCTTTGGCAGATTGTCAAGATTCCATTAGATCCCGTGTGGATCTCATGGAATAAAGTCCGCCCTAGACTGACGAGGGCCATTAGCCCGAAACCATGGTCTCTAGGTGGACGCTTTTCAGTTTGCCAAAGCTGGTGTTGTGGCTTTGTCACCAACCCGAGGCCACTAGTTTGCGGCGACGGTCAATGGATGGCGTCAGATTTTGACATCTATTTTGACGGGAGAGGCGACCTTTGTCTCTGTAGATGGGGTAGATTTTTTTATTATTTTCTATCTTCAATTTTTAGTGTTGTTTGGTGCTGTCTGAGGTTCAGAGCTTCTCCTGGGTTCCCTCCACTATACCAGTTGTGCTTAGGAGGGATCCTCCAGTTCTTTTTTTTTTTTGGCTACTGTCTCTATGTCTTTAAAAAGTAAGTTTATTTTTCCGTGGCAAGGGTTCTCTTGTGCCCTTTTTTTGCTAGCCCATCAGCAAGTACATAAACACAACCAACTTTTATCTTATAAATCCCCTGATAGGTTGCAATGTAATGTAAGAGCTTGGTCCAAAACACAAGGGTTTCCAAGAACATCCTGACAATACATCACAACCCACTGTGGTTCTAAGCACTGTCCAATGAAACCAATACAAACTTCTTTATTGAGATGTTGAATATAGAAATAAGAAATGGTAAAAATTTTGATAAGACACAATTTGGATTATAGATTATAAACACAAGGTAAATAAGACCAAATCCAAATATATAGTGTTTGAAACGAAGGCGATAAAAACTTGGTGAGTTTCTTTTAATGGTAAAAACACAAGCTTTCAGGCAAGAATGCCCTTCCTCAGGTTACAACTGATATTTGGATTTATAGTCTTATTACCTTGTGGTTAAAACTTCACCAAGTGTTTGTCAAAGTCAAAGAATATATATAAAAAAAAGCTTCCAGACATAAAAAGCTAGCAAACATCAGTTATAAACCAAAGAGAGGAGCAGTCCACCCATACAACAACAATACCTTATATATGGGGTATTCACATGTAACTGGCCAGCCATAGGTAGAAAATTATGGTTCCTTTTGTGTATTATTTGCAGGAGAGTATTGAATGATATGAGTATTTATAAGTATTTCTACTGTTCTCATGGACCAAACAACTCTAACAAGATTTAGAACTGACCATCTCAAGCAATTAAAGATAGAAAATAATACCAAAATCTACCCCCACATGCCCAAAATGTAGCTTGGCACCTGCAGCTCAAGAACACATTTTGGCTTGTACTTTATTTTGACTATGTCCCCCTAGGGACACTTGCACTACAAAGGTAAACATTGAAAGGAAAGAACGAAAGATATTTGAAATATGTACAAGAATTAGTATGCAAGTTTTAGTTCGATTGCATTAGATACACTAAACAGGTCCTCTGGGAGAGGCCGCTGCTTATTTATCATACAGCTGGAGAAGCATAAATTCATGGAATTTGTGTAAATCTTTGTACAAGGGGATAAGAAACAACACATCTCTACTGTTCTAAGAGAAGTCATGTCCGTAGAATACCTGTAAAGTTATGGCCTATGGTTTAGAAAAGATGTTGATGCTGAGAAAAAATTTAAGAAAAACCTGCAATAAGCTGGCTAGAAAGGGGTCGAGAAAGCAACAGGAAGGTCACTAGAATGAGCTGTGAGTGATGGGCACTAACAGATCAAATTGGAAAATATTTGTCACCATAGTGTCACCAAAAGTTGACTTGATGGACACTAACAACAACATAAAAGAAGAACAGACCAATATATAATCAAAGTGGTATGGTAGATTAAACTGAGGAAGTAAATTCTGGGAAGGTTCCAGAGCAAGGCTCTCTATTACAGAAAGGATAGTGGAACCTACCAAGACAGATACTTGGTGAACAAACTTGGCACTCATACAAGTCAGTTCACTAAACTATTGACTGTATTGACTCATTGCCTAGTATGATTGAGTGGAGATAAGAAAGAAGAAGAAGAAGACTCATCCATTGATGAGCTCTACTCTTCCCCGGCAGACACCATCAAAAGTCTCGAGCTTTACAAGCTTGATATCTTAGTGTGATTAAGTGGAAATAAGAAAGAAGAAGACTCATCCATTGATAAGCTCTACTCTTCCCCGGCAGACACCATCAAAAGTCTCTAGCTTTACAAGCTTGATATCTTAGTGTGATTAAGTGGAGATAAGAAAGAAGAAGAAGAAGACTCATCCATTGATGAGCTCTACTCTTCCCAGGCAGACACCATCAAAAGTCTCTAGCTTTACAAGCTTGATATCTTAGTGTGATTAAGTGGAGATAAGAAAGAAGAAGAAGACTCATCCATTGATGAGCTCTACTCTTCCCCGGCAGACACCATCAAAAGTCTCGAGCTTTACAAGCTTGATATCTTAGTGTGATTAAGTGGAGATAAGAAAGAAGAAGAAGACTCATCCATTGATGAGCTCTACTCTTCCCAGGCAGACACCATCAAAAGTCTCAAGCTTTACAAGCTTGATATCTTAGTGTGATTAAGTGGAGATAAGAAAGAAGAAGTTCACTAAACTACAGGACAACCTGGTTAGTTGGTGACCTATGCTCTAGTAGCCTATACTGTGTCAGACATCCCATCCAGAAGGCCTTCCAGCAGCCACCCAACCTACAAGACGACTGGCTCTTTGGGTATGGATGACAATGACATTCATTCTATTTTCACATCATCAGTCAAAACATCCATTTATATGTTTATCCAGAATTCAGATTTACCCAAACCATTCTGTTTATGAGCTTAACTTTTTCAATTAGGTGTTTTCCTGCATATAACTTTCATTATTACCATTAAATGTGATTATCTTTTACTTTTTTTTTATTAATTTCACTTGAAGACTCTGTGTATAAGACTATATATCTTATTAAAGACTTTTGTACATGTGTGTTTATCCAGAATCTTGAGGGGAAGTATGAGGTAAGGAAGGCCTCGTGATTATCTGGAGGAGGACTTTCCTCGGCTGTTCATAACTGAAAATAGAATTTCTTTCTGTTTCCTCTGTCCCTATGAATTGTTTTTGAAGGACCTCCATAATATCTATATATATATAAAAATGAATGTTTGTATGTTTGTCTGTTGGTATGTCCGGTATACAAATTCGCAGTAGTTCACTAATTCAAACCAAAATTTCCATACATAGGTAAAAAATAACGGGGATGACGATAGGCTATTTTAAAACTATATATTCAAATTATTAAAACTATATATTCAAATTATTCTACTTAGCTCACGAGCAGCGCCCTCTAGAACGCATGGCGGTCTGACGGCGGGGGGCGCCCATTGGCTGCCGGCGAGCACGTGACTTCCCTGCCCCCGGCCCCCCCCCTCCGAGAAAATGGAATCGTCCGGCTGCCGGCCGGTTGGCAGTTCACGTTCCCACCGCGTGCGGTCCTGGCGTTGGTGACACAGCTGTGCCAAGTGCCAAAAAAGTCTCGTGGGTGACCTCCGGGAACTACGTCCATCTTCCATATGTAAAATACATTTAATCGTGTAAACCCGGGCGTTGCCCGGGTCATTCGTCTAGTTGTTTATAAAATCAAGAACTTCCCCAATGTACTAGCCACCCCACCATCGCAGGATGAGTTGTCAACTTACCAAAGAGTCCACCTCCGGGTCCTCGACATTTAGGACTGGTAGGAGGTAGGCCAAAGAAGAGCTGGCCAATCCTAGAGAGATACTGGCACACACAACCACAGCGTGTAAATATGGGTGGATCAGTACAAACTTCCCAGGAGAGAAGCCGCTCCTATATAAACATGGATACTCCTGGAGGTGGTTTCTCATTGGAGGTTTGATTTTTATAAAGGTGGGAGGTTCCACAACCTCTCATGAGAGACCAGAGCCTAAAACCATGTTTCTCCAGTAGGCGGTAACTCAACAGATTTGTGTCGGGCCGAAAAATGAAAAGTCTTTCAAATGAAATGAGTTGAGTAAAATATATTAGGTCTCCAGGGAGAGTATCTTTTCAAAAACATAAACATAAGGTAATAAGAGCTAATCAAAATAAATAAATAGTGTGTGACGTTTCGGTAACAGCGTTGTTACCATCTTCAGACAACAGTACTAAATGGGATGGGAATCGAACCCAGTGTTCCGCTTACCGGGCAGATACCATGACCACTAGGCTACCCTGCACATTCAGTACTTTTGTCTGAAGATGGTAACAACGCTGTAACCGAAACGTCACACACTATTTATTTATTTGGATTTGGTCTTATTACCTTGTGTTTATAATCTATTAGCCGAATGACCCGGGCAACGCCCGTGTTTTACCCGATTGAATGTTTTTTATTCAAATGCTATTTGTTACAATTATAAATTGGCGCCTTAAATAAATGCATATATTAGTTAATAACTATAGCCTATGTGCTTTATCTGTCTATGTACTGTTGGCTTCCGTAGGCGTCTCTTACAGGGAAAAAGAAAGAGAGGATTCCATTTGGTTATTAACTAATATATGCATTTATTTAAGGAGCGACCCACTCCAACACAATAATTACAAAACCAAAAAGCGAGTGGGGGGGCAAAGGTGGCGTGACCGTAGCCAACCAATAGGAGGGCGCCATTCCAAAAAAAAAAAAAAAGCAAACGGTGACAGAGATGAAAACTGATGACTGATTGTTGATTAGGAGATGAGGAATGACGCTCGTAACTGTATATAGAATAATCCAAAAAGTGTCAAAAACATATTTATTCTCTAGCTTTCGGGAACGAACGCCCTTCTACAGGAGAAAACTTGTTTTACCATGGGATTATATTTATTGAATTGAAACAGGAGTGCTGGGAATAATAGCACAGCAGAATTCCTGCTCTAGAGAGCTGTGGTACAGCTGCCTACCATCATCATATAACCTAGCCACAACCACTTCTTTTTATCTTTGTTTACTGTTTCGCCTGCGGTTTTTTAATCTGGTAACTCAAGATAATAAAACCAAACTAAATAAATAAATAATGAGTCAAGTTTCGGTAACATTACCAAAACATCATACACTATTTATTTGGTTTTAATATACCTTATGTTTCTAATCTAGAATCCAAATTGATCATTATCTGCTAACCTTAATTCACTGGTTTATGTTCTCTTTGGTTAATAAAAACAGCATATTGTGAGATAAGACCTCTAACTTTCCTACAAGGAGAAACTGGGGTTAGCTATGTTTTTAGGAGTTATGTTGTTGTTGTTTCTTATCTCCTTGTGTAAAGATTACACGAATTCCATGTTTAGAGGTTATACACCATATAATCTAAAAAGAGAACTTTTTATTTTTATCCCAAATTTACATGTTACAGGCCATGATAATCATGGTGGAAAGTTAGCGAAAACTTTTTTTTTTACTGTAAGTGCAACCCGTGTTTTAACACGTAGAAAGCAGTTTGACTTTTGCACTGACAAGTAGGTCAGACCATTTGGATATTTGCATTCACTGGTGGAGATGGGGCTTTTTTTGCAAGAATTAGAGGGGGGAGCCTTTGGAGATTTTTTCTTCAGAAAAAAAAGAGCCCAATAAGGGATTCATTATCAGGCTGTCGCTGTTGAAAATCAATGGTTTATGCATTATTGGATTATAGATACAAGAAAATAAGACCTAATCCAAATAATTTTATAATGTTTGACGTTTCGGCAACAACATTGTCACCATCAACAGACAAAAGAATAAATCCTAAATAAATCATTTGTTCTTTTGTCTTAACTCCGCCTTTGCCGGTTCCAAGCCCGGATGAAAAAGGAGGGGGAGCAGTAACAAGCTCACTAAAAAACCTGGGCTCAGCTGGCCCGGCTGATAGTACCCTGTAAGGGCTCCTTATCCAGGGATACAGGATCAGCGTTTGTACTCCATGTTAGGAGCGGCTGCACATGGCATCTGTTCCTCATGTCAGAGGCGGCCATTTCTTTTGGAGCTAAGTCAGTGGCCTGCCACTGAGTAGTGCTCCCAGTCTTAATGACAAAGGCAGAAGACGCATTCTACTTCACCCAATCATGATGGTTGTCAAATCTCTCCACTATGCAGCATCGGCGGTCGCGCAGACTTTACAAGCTTGATACCTTAATATGATTGAGTGGAGATAAGAAAGAAGAAGAATTGTCTATGCCATTACTCCACCAAGCTTCATATGTAGGAAGAGCCAACAGCATCCTGTGTTCCCAAGTGGTCACCCTTCCAAGTCCTACAAGACCTTCAACATTACATAAATTTGGTGATCAGACAAGAGAGAGCAAGTGTTTTCAAGGCAAGTATGGCCATAGACAAAAAGGGTACCTGTGTGTAGGAAGGGTCGCGTGCCAGCGAGGGCTTGTAGTGCTGACAGAGGATGGTGAAGACTGCGCTGCGCGGTTCATCCACCGCCAACAGCAGGAACCAGAGGAAGTTGAGGAGAGGTAGAAGGAAGGGCGGACCTTTGTTCACCATCTCTGGGTGGTTCTCTATGTACGTCCAGAACACCACGCTGGCGCAGCTTTTGTTTGACAGACAGAGGTACCTGTTCACACACAAGTGATTGTCACCTTGCACTTAGTCCATTATATAAACTACACTCATGGAAACAAAACTTAAGCAAGTTTTACCTTTTAGTAGCATGTATATATATTCAGACAATAACTCTGAAATACAAGTTGTTAAGAACAAATCCAAATAAATGAATAGTGTGTGACGTTTTTGTAAAAGCGTTTAGCCATTTAGTCTTTTGTCTAATGATGGTAACAACGCTGTTACTGAAATGTCACACACTATTAATTTATTTGGATTTGGTCTTATTAACGTAGATTCTAATCTATAATCCAAATATTATGTTGAAATCTAAATCATAGGTTGAAATCATAGGTGCCGTTTTAGTATCGTCGTGTTTACTTTGTTTTTGCCTGTTGAAGGGTTCTTACCCGAAAGCTTTAAAAAAAAAAAAAAAGCGTCCATAAAAAACCGTTTAAGATACTTGTCTTCTTTTATTTTAGATTTCAATATAATAGCTCTAAGAAGAATCTCTTATTCTTACTACCAAATATTATGCCTTATCTGAAAGATATTTGATACACAGTAACCTTTATTGAAGACATACGAGATAACCAAGTTTGAACAAAATTGCCTCTATCTCATTAAAAAAATAATAATAATAATAAAAGATGACTGGCGACATATCAAAGATTTTCCACTTCCTTAAGTTTTGTCCATGTGATTGTATATTATTATTTCAGGTAAATCAGTCCTAGGGATTTCAATCAGGTTTAACCAAGACGATCAATTCTTAGACATAGTTTTCAACAGGTGTTAAGTTTTGGTATCTCTCTTGGTGTCCTCTTACATGGAAAGTAACCAATTGGTTAAAAAATTATAATTTGGGCAATATGATAACAGTCCTAGAGGTGTCCATTCCTGGAGTATTTCAGGTCAGAGTGGCTGACTAGAGATAACAATCTTAATTCTGATAAGGCACAATTTGGATTATTCTATATACAGTTACGAGCGTCATGCGTTCTTAATCCTTCATCTCTGTCACCGTTTGCTTTTTTTTTTTTTTTGGAATGGCTCTCTCCTATTGGTTGGCTACGATCACGCCACCTTTGCCCCCTCCCCCACTCGCTTTTTGGTTTTTGTAACTATTGTGTTGGAGCGGGTTGCTCCTTAAATAAATGCATATATTAGTTAATAACTAAATGGAATCCTCTCTTTCTTTTTCCCAGTAAGAGACGCCTACGGAAGCCAACAGTACATAGACAGATAAAGCACATAGGCTATAGTTATTATAACTAATATATGCATTTATTTAAGGCGCCAATTTATAATTGTAACAAATAGTATTTGAATAAAAACATTCAATCGGGTAAAACACGGGCGTTGCCCGGGTCATTAGGCTAGTAGATTATAAACACAAGGTAATAAGACCAAATCCAAATAAATAAATAGTGTGTGACGTTTCGGTAACAGCGTCATCACGTCCGGCTCACCAACGCTGTTACCGAAACGTCACACACTATTTATTTATTTGAATTTGGTCTTATTACCTTGTGTTTATAATCTTAATTCTTAAATCACACACAAGGGGAAAAAAGATATTTCAGGTTGAAAGTGTGTGAAGAAGGGAAAAAAGGAAGGGATGAATATGTACAGGATTACACATAGGGTTGGGAGTAAAAAAATGTTTACAAAAAAAAAATCTACTAATCAGAACATTGCAGATGGCTTGTGCAATTCATCTATACTTGCAGGTTTTTTTATCATGTAGGGTAAAATGATAAAGCACAATTTGGATTATAGATTATAATAAAAGAAAATAAGACCTAATCCAAATAATTTATTATTGTGTGACGTTTCGGCAACAACATTGTCACCATCATCAGGCAAAAGAATCATTCTTTTGTCTGATGATGGTGACAATGTTGTTGCCGAAACGTCACACACTAATAAATTATTTGGATTAGGTCTTATTTTCTTTTATGTAGGGTAAAAAAAAAAAGATCCTAAAGTAGCAATTAAAAACACTGATAACGTTGATTACCATCAATATCATTATCAATAATATTACAGTCTCTCTAACTTCTTTAATTCAACCCCCCCACAAATGATCAGAATTTTCAGTTGAATTATAAAGCTGGTAAAGAGATGATTATCA